TTTTTTTTTTTTTTTTTTTTTTTTTTTTTGCAAAAAAAGCCCTTTGGCTGCTGTTAGTGGTGCAGATCTGATTTGTCACATGACAGGTTCAGCTGTCCTGCTACATCCTTTCCAGTCTGTTAGACCATTCCATTTTTGTCATATTTTTATTGTTTATTTGTCGCTGTGAGTTTGCTTTAGGTTTGTTTGAGGACATAAAGTCAATTTGTCGAAGCGTTTTAGCTCTTTCTGCCATGCTCTATAATAATCTTGTTTTTTGAGCACATTTAACTATGTCAGTGTACTTTATACAGACTTAAAAAAATTAAGAAATAGGTAGATCTTTGAAAATAGAACTAACCCAAAATGCCCACTACACATACATGTACATGTACATGCTCACTACATGTTCAATTAAGAGTTTCAACTAGTTAGAAATACTAAAATATTAGTTCTCATGACATTGCTTAGAAAAAACAGTTTTAAGTAAAACTTTAAAGGACTCTTATCTGAGGAGTTTGCAGATTTAATATTAATAGTACAGTAGTGAGTTCCTCAAAATGGGAGCAGCCTACGGAAATGCCTGGTGTCCATTTAAGAACGAGTCTCTATTTTGGTGATCTTGAGCAGGTGGTAGGAAGAAGATCATAGATTCCACAGCAGATAATATTTTTGTATATTCTGGATAAACAGAAGATAGTCCATACGGGATCTTGCAGGCCACAAGAAGGATTTTAAATATTATTCTTGATTCAATAGGAAGCCAGAGTAGTTTGTTTATGGGATTTCATTCTAGTGAGTAGATGTGCTGTAGTGTTTCAGTTTATCCTCTTTATATTTGGGAATGCCATAGAGACGACTATTGCAGTAATGTACAAAACATCATGAAGTATTTAGTACGTTGACTTGGAGCTTGATGTTTTCTTTAGACAGTTATTTTCATATTCTTCTTGTAGCTTAAGTCGCTTTCTTACAGTTGTCGTTTGCATGAGATTTGAGCATTAGATTCTTGTCTAGCGTAACGCCAGTTTATTATGTGTCAGGGTTTTTCCACAAGGGTCTTGCATCAACTGGAAATTAAGATAATGAAATTTACCTAGGTTTTTAAATAATTCTTAGTCAATGAAAAAACCTTACAATAAGTGAGTAGTTTGTCTCTTGAGAAATCCGAAAACAAATGTAACTGACTGCAGCATTAATTTTTACTTAATCCCAAAATCTCTACAATTATGAGACAGGGCATAAATAATTTGTTTATTGACACCCTGTCAAATTTAACACAAGGTGTATGTTTTAAAGACAGTTATATGATTGTGTTTTTTGATGTTTCCCCAATCTTCTAACTGGAAGAAAAGTTACCTTTAAAAGCCTGTATATGATTGTATATTCCTTATTGAGATTCATGTACAAATTTAATAACTGGTAAAGTTGCTTGAGTCACAATGAGTCGCAACAGTTACTGTCCTTTGTGAAGTTAGGTTTTTTTTGATTCTCATAAAGATAACTGAAATGCATGTGGGTAGTTACAAATAAGGTAATTTATATTTTTGCCGCATTCATCTTTCAGAATCTTGCCACTGGGTCCAAGAACTTCAGTGAAACTTCACGGACACGATTTACATCTCACCTTTCAAAAAGCCTAGGTCTTCATGAGCAAGGCTGTGTAATCCTTCATGTCTTCCCTGTGAGTACAGAACCTAAAGACTAGCAGGATTATTCATGTACAGACTGGTTTGAAAAAATGATTTAAACTTAGGCCATTGACATTGCTCACTGAGAATCCTATAAGAATTTTCTTCAACCTTCGTAGACCACTTAATTGTTGTATGGAAAAACAAGTTGATACTTACTTTTGAGTTCCAGTCACCTGCTTTCTTTTCTCTGTTTCTTCTTTTCCTTATTTCTTCTTTTTTTATCTTTGTCCCTAAAGCTTTCTTTGTGTTGTTTGCTCCCTCATTTGTCCATCTGTCCTTTTGACCTCTGTCTATTTGTTTGTTTACAAGTCTGTCTGAGTGTTCGTTTGTCTGTCTGTCTGTTTGTCTGTTGGTTAATTTATTCTCTTCATTCATTCCTTCCTTCCTTCCTTTGCTGCTGTCTTTTCTGATTGAAGATACAGTTTACCCGTAGCATGCAGTCTTGTGATGTATTTTGAACTGCAGTCAAAACATTATTCTGAAACTTGACGGTTGATTTTTACAGATATCTCTCAGGAAGATCCAAGTTGAACTGTACTGTGAAAAAGACATGGTTAAGGCCATGGGGTCTGAGTGGGAACCTAATGTTTTTATTCCTGCCAATAAAATGATCCAAACCCTAGACAGCCCGGCCATGCAGCCATTCCTGCAGGAGTATAACATCACTGCATATGGTGTCAAGGTACATGAGTTATCATTTCATATTCCGTTGAATTATCACTATATTGTTTAAATGCCAGGTTGAAATAAATGCTAGTGTTGGTCTAGAAGGTTGGAATTTATCGAAATGAACATCTCTGGCCTGTTTTTGAGGTCTGCATCTCAAATGAACATCAGTATCTTTAAAAAGTAGTGAGGTGAAAACAGTCAACTCCCGATAACTCAAACTTTCAGGAGAAATTGATGAAGCCTTGTCTTTTGAGTTTTCATGAGTTGAGACCAAATGACTGGTGTAAATGTTATGGGAAACAAAAGAAAGCAAAGCAGCAGGAGAAGTGCAAGCACTACAAATGTTGCAGGTTTCAGAGGAAAAAAAATGTCAGCCTACTGCTACAGAGTTTATTCAGTTAAATTTTTAGAGAAATAGGTTCAATGTTTTGGACTACAGAACTGATTGTTTTTAGTTGTCACATATTGACAAACATGGTGTGAGTTATCAAGGTTAAAGTTATATTTTAGAAAATGTTTAGGGAGGTGCGGTGGCCTCATGGTTTGTGGGCTCGTCTCCGGATCTTGTTCTTGGGCAAGACACTTTACTCTCACAGTGCCTCTCTCCACCCAGGTGTATAAATGGGTACCGGCGAACTTAATGCTGGGGGTAACCCTGTGATGGACTAGCATCCCATCCAGGGGGGAGTAGAAATACTCCTAGTCGCTTCATGCTACGGGAACCGGGATAAGCTCCAGCTTGATGGGCCACTTGGCTCGCATGCAGACTTTACCTTAGAAAATGTGTGAAAGGGAAACAAAAATTGCTTTGCGCTAGTGGCAGCAGGTTCAAGTTGTTGAGGGTTGGAGTTACCAAAAGTAAAATTACAATCAATGTATGACAGAAATCCAGGGGTTATCAATTTTGGTTTCAGTTACCGTGAGGTTTGAGGTAGTGAGGGTTTGAGTTTTCGGGAGTCAACTGAGAGAAAACTCAACTTTATTTAGTCAGGACACAGTGGCTAATCAGTAAAGTATGTTGCTGGATTTGTGATGAAAACTTTTTTCATTCTTTGCAGGACACCCCTGAGATAGACCTTGCAGTTTATCAAGAAATGTGGTTTCCGGTAGCAGTGGTGGCTGGTGTGACTGTTATTCTCATATTCCTGGCTATTGTTTGCTTGGTAAGTCACAACATACCCACCCTTATGTCAAACATTTTTTCAGATCTCACTGTAAGTCAGTTTGCAGTTAGCTCTGCTATGAGATAACATTGTGGAACAGCCATATATTTTACTTCTGCTTTTCTTTTGGGGACATACAGAACTAAGCTACCTTTTCACATATATAGTAGGCAGCCAGTGTAATCAATTAACTAGAACTTAGTTGCAGTGTACCTGAGTTGCTGTACTATTATTGATTTTATTGGTTGATGTTCAATATTTCTTCAGCCAGGTTGTTAGTATACTGTTGCTAATTCCTGTCTTTATAATAGCTGTTTTGTCGGCGTCATCTGGAGGCCAGAGCTGAGGAAGAACACCGTGCAAAACACCATGACCCAGAGAAGCTCCTTTATCCTGCTATTGACCCCATAAATGCTGTGTCAGCAAGTATGATCCAGCCAGACCCAGGGAGAGTGTACAGTTTGCCTCCCAAACCAAGGAAGTGGAAAGGTTCTCAGCTCTCACTATCAGACAGGTTCGACATGTGAATTTTTCCATCTGGTTGGCATAAATTTCTTTTTGATCCAAAATTTAATGGTACAACACAATGATGATGATGACGTTTCTTTATTTTCATGACTCATCTGCTTGAAACATTAGACATTGCAAGGAGAAAGTAGTTGTTGGTCCCACTCTCATTGGTGAAGCATTATTGATGTAAAGTTTTTATTGTGATTATTTTGAAGACGTGTCTGAGGAACTCCTACAAACTTAAACTGTAGATTTAATAACCTTGCTTTGATTTTCAGGCGTGGCTCAAAAGCTTCGCTAGTTCTTGATCTCAGATCATCCTCGACTGAACTAGGAACCAGTTCTTCTGCCCCAAGTATTCTAGAAAGGTTTGGAAGGCATTTAGTAAAGAGTAATAACTGTATGAAAGTTTTGTTCTTGTCATAATGACAATTGCTTCTGAGATAGAAGTGAAAGTGCTTTTCTGGGGTAGAATTGACTGTTCTAGGGCACAGGGTGTTGTAACTTCAAACATAACTTTAACTTCTCTATTATTGTGCACTATTTACAGAGTTAATTTACATGAGTATTATAACATATATATATATAAAGTTGTTTTATAGTTATTGTATTTTGTAAATTTAGAAAAGCCTGACCAAGCGATCTTAGCTTAAGTTGTATCTTCCTCTGGAATGTTTGTGGTTGTACTCTAGAACTTTCTAAAATATGATAGTTTGGGATGAATGCTGTATTTAAATGTTGTAAATATTGTATATTTACAGCCCCACAGAGGAAAAGCTTGCTTCTAAATCCAGACCCTTGACTTGCAATGAATTAGAAGACTGTGTAAATAATGCCAAGCAACTTAATGCAGAATTCTGGGTGAGTTAAAATTGATACTGTATGACAAAATGGTTGGTGTCAGACTGGTTTGGGAGATCTTGGAAACCTTCTTTGAACCCTTGCTTATCAATGGGCTCGTGCAAATTGTCAGGTTCCTCCAAACTCTCTCAAATGCTTGTATCAGGCAATGTAAATGTTTCTTTGAATGAATGTTTTGCTTTCAATTAACATTTTACTGCCATCAGACGATTTGACCAATGATTGTGCTTTCCTCATTTGTTTAGGAAATGCCCATGAATCACCCCCCTCCCGAGGAGAGGCTACCTGGTTCAAGTTACAGAAACAGATATCCATTTATTTTACCAAGTAAGTTTCGAGTGCTGTATCATGGCTGAGTACCAGCCTGTAACTTGGTGAATGTGCAACCTGTTATTTTCTGTCTCACCCTAAACATGTTTTCTTCCAGATGCTAGGACTAGAGTGAATTTACCAGAAATACCTGGAGATCCTTTATCTAAGTACATTAATGCAAATTTTTTGAGGGTAAGTTGGAGGATTGAACAATAATTTGACTATGCAGGGCTATAACTAACAATTATTCCTTGAGCATGCATTGGATATGAGATGGTAGATAACCAACAAGGCATGTAGCACCGAGTTGGCTAAAATCATCCCATATCCAACAAGCACGAGTGAAATAATTGTTTTATTGAAAACGCGCCCAAAATATAGAAAACTAGGCTTCATCCAAAAAATCATGGTTACGCTTATCATATTTGTAGAGCATGGTATAATGCCTCATAACCCATGATGGCTAAGCCAATGAAAACTCTCAGATTGCAGTGATCCAGTTTTTAATAATTGTGTTGATACAGAGGTTAGACTGTAGCAATTGGCTTGGAACAAGCTCATACTAGTCAAGCAGAGTTTTTCCTATTCTCATTATATTTTTAATTCAATTTCAGGGTTATGAGGGTCGAAAACATACTTACATAGCAACCCAAGGTAAACATGCATCACTCAATTTTAGTTAAATTTGTTTTTAATTGTAAAACGGAGAACTTGAGATCATGAGAAGCTTTAGGACATGCTTGGATCTGTCTTCCTGAGAAAAAGTTTCTTAGTTTGTAGTAAGAGTATTTTGGGTAATATATGGTACTAATTTTAGTATGTTATTGTTTGGTGGCTTCATGGTTAGTGTGCTGGACCCTGGATCAAGCAGTCCAGGTTTGAGCCTTGGCTGGGGTCATTTACTATGAATGAATACTAGTGTAGCTGGGTCAGACCCTGCAATGGACTAGCATCCAGGAGAGAGTAGAAATATTCCAGTCTCTTCATGATGGGTCACTTGGCTTGAATGCAGACTATGTATTCCTCTGTACTGTTACTGTTTCTCTTCCAGGTCCATTATCAGTTACAGCCAAAGATTTCTGGAGGATGATATGGCATCATCACTGCCCGATAATTGTTATGATTACAAAGCTTAAAGAAAGGAATGAGGTGTGATTAACTTAATAAATTATACTGTCTTGAAATGGAATTCAAATTTTTTTAAACCTTGGATCATTTCAAATAGTCTTCAGCTCCTCATGGAAAAAAGTTTGGAAAAATTACCCTTGAGTTTTAAAACTTCCCAATTTTTCCATTGCTTTCTCCTAGGTTGTTTGAAAAATCGGAGTTCTACTGTAATCCCTTTGTTTACAATAATTATCAGACATTGGACCTTGTAAACAGAAATTACTTAATATGAAGAATCTCTTTAACAAAATTACCCTCTCTTGTCAGACAAAATGTGAGCGTTACTGGCCAGACCCAACATTTAGAATGCAAGAGAAGTATGGAGACATAGTTGTCACATTTGACTCTGCAATTGGACGAGACGGTTATCAGATAACGTCTTTATACATCAGTCATTCACAGGTAAGTTCAAATTGCTCCTCTTTTACCATGATGGCTATTTTTGTGGAAAGGCTAATGGACGGTGTTATTTTGGGCAAACCTGTTACAAATACTAAAAACTTGTTGTACTTTAATCCTTTACAGTCCCTAGAAGCTCCACGAAGAATTTACCACTACTGGTACACTGCCTGGCCTGACCATGGTGTCCCAGACTCCCCAAGACAATTTTTAAGATTAGTAGAGGAAGTGCATATTGCTCAAGAAAGAGAAGATGTAAAAAAAGGCCCTGTTGTTGTACATTGCAGGTTGGTAATCACGTGTTGATGTCACTAATTTCATGCTTATCTAGCCTGCATAGCAAACATTTTGACTCACACAAATAAGGAGATTCCTGCTCACAGACGTTCAAGAATGCAGCTGAGAGGAAAACCTCTTCATTTTGATTCATATGGAAACATTTGCTACGCAGGGTAAATGACTTTCTTTTAAAAGAAGGTAATGAGAATTTTGAGTGAGTGGTGCATTTAACCATATTTTTCAGTGCATGAGAACTTAAACAGTGCTCTTAAAAACTTACAGAAAAATACTAAAATCTTCAAACCTAGCATGTACACACAATGTTGTTAGTGCAGGGATGAATATTGCAAAAATATGGCTTTGCTTGTACTTTATGGGCTGTGTAAGGTTTGCATGGTATTGTGGTAAAATGTACAACTACCATCTCTTTTCTTGCAGAGGATTACAAACTAATTTTAATCTGAGAATATTATTTCTTACAGTGCTGGGGTTGGAAGAACAGGTTGTTTCATTGCAGCTAGTATAGGAATTGAGCAAATAAAGGTATGTTTTGGGGTTTGGGGTTTTAAGTGTCATTATGGATTCTGTCAAATCAGGTTTTTTTAAAGTAAAATCTGAAGGGTTTGACAAGCTGTACTTTATTGTTGCGCCAGCTAATTTGTTGGAAAATACCGAACAGTAGTGTGATCTCGCTCTTTGGCTTTCTTTCTTGTCGTGCTCCAAAGAATAGAAAAAGTGGCTCTTCTTATTGGTAATTAACTCAGGTACCTTATTACATGAAATTTTTGCAGCTTGTTAATTTCGCAAATTTCGCGATTTAAAAAAGGCATAATGAAAGTGACGCAAACAATAAGTGTCACGAACATAACATTATGCGAAAATTAAGTGACTCACATGTTACTGTTGACATATAGACCCACTATTGTTTTTCTTTTTTAATTTTGACATTATTGTACCTTTGATAAAGTTGGTTTGCTAAATTCAAGGACATGTTATTAGTTAACGTAACTTTGCCAAGGAAATAAATTGTGTGTAAACGTGTCACAAAGACTTCGTGTAACAAGGTAATTGAATTGTTTGTTGAAGGTATGCTATTTCAGTAACACAAGGTGATAACAGTCCTTACAACCATGTACACTGAAATGTGAACATTTTCCTTTCACCACTAGAGAGAAGGACTTGTGGACATTCTCAAGATAGTAAGCCTTATGAGAATAGACAGGTCAGTACTGTACCTGTGCCTGTACAACTTCATATTCTCCTGCGTTATTAATATCTGTTTAAATGTAACAGCTTTATAAGAAATAGTGTCAGGGTTTCATGAAGATTGTCACATGCTACCAACCAGTTTTTTGAGGGGAGTATCTCCCCTAGGATTCTAGGTTACATCAAGTTGCGGATGTAGAAACTATTTCTTAGTGTACAATTAACTGCAACATACACTAACTTTTATTTCTATAAATCTGTAGGGGCGGAATGGTGGAAACAGATTTACAGTATGAACTTGTATACCATACACTTCATCATTATTGGACAACATATACAGGCAGTGATGATGATACACGTGACATAGCCCTTGAAGCAATCTTTGATGAATAATCCGTGGTGAATATTAACATACAACAGTTGCATCATATAATTCCTTCATGCTGGTCATGGGAAGATGATATTATATTACAAGTCTAGTCTGTTAGTCATTTATCAAGTATGGACTGTGGATAATTCAATAGACATCAATATTTATCGCCTACAAGATTATTCAAGGTGCCCATTGGCAAGATGCTATTTATTTCAGTATTTTAATGTACATGTGTGGATTATTATTTAATGCATAATGCAGTCATGGGAACATGCTTCATGAATCGTAATTATCAATGACATGGTTTAAACAAGGCAAGACTACCAAGATTGTGTTTTGAGGAGTCTTTCTTAATTGACATCAATCAGCAAGTCCAGAATGAGTGGGACATACCAGGCCAGTTGAGAGACGTGCAAGTATTTGATGTTTAGTTTAGTTTTGACACATCCCTTGCAGGACAAGGGATCAAGAATGAGCTGTTGGTGACAAAGAATGGAAAGAAATTATGTATTCAAGAAACTAGACAATTGAAATCATCATTGGTGATTGCATGTCCGTGATTCATTTATGGATGACTTGGGGATTTCTGGTTGTAAAGAGTACAAGACTGGTGGTGACAATGTGAAGGATGAGAAGGAGCGATCATTCAAACATCACCTTACTACCTTAAACCATTTACTTCCATAAGCGAAGTTGGATAAGATTGTGCTATTAATAGTACCTTGTCGTTGGTGCTAAACAGTTCCATAAAAGTGGAATATTTGTTGTTCAAAGGAATGGGAATGGAAAAGGATGGCTGAAATAGGAAGCTGGTTAGAGATGAGATCTTGGAATATTATTAACGTTATTTTCACCATTCTTTGAAGGGAAACAAGGGATTGCTAGTGCTTTGGATAGTGTTTTGCAGTCTGATTTGAGCATTTATTTTGCCACCAAAGCAAGTGAGGATTTAAGGAAATCTCAATTTATTTGCCAGGAATCTTGGCATAAAGAAATGTTTTATTTTTCAGTTTTACTGCATGGGCCCTTATTAAAATTGGGACAATTATCAAATTATAAAAAAAAATTATCTTATGTCTTTTTAGACAGGCAATATTGAGCATGAAAATGTCTTCAATTTGAGAAATTATTTCAAAGTATTTATCAAAAATAATTGTACAGAATTGTTATTGAGGGATTTTATGAAATTCTTCTATAGATATTTAATCCACAAGCAGAGATATGTTACAAGTTATTACACAAGATTGTGAAGGAAAGTTACTTAAGTTATTTGGAATATTGTGTGTACATAATAATCAGGTGTGCTGCATCAAAGTGAAAACTTGGCCTGTTCCAACTAATGTTTTGAGTCGGATATTAATCTAATGTATATTTTAATCATGTGCATTGCAAGCCTAAGTTCTGCTCTGTTATCTAACAACAATGTGGTTGAAAATTCCATGTGGCTGCAATCTACAACTCCTCATCTTGGATCTTTATTTTCTTGTTGAAGGAGAAGGAAAGGAATTGTCCTGGAACCAGGACAATAATTTTTAAGTGTAACATCATCAGCGTGAAGTTTCCCAGTTTGGCACTTGAAAACAACTTGACAGGGGCAGATCCAGGATTGTTTTTTTTAGGAGGGTGCACCACTAGCGAATGGCATAACTGACTGATGGGGGAAAAAAATTTTAAAAGCGAATACAAAGAAGAAGGCTTCATCTCAAGGGGAGGGGGTTGCACACCTTCTGCACCCTCCCCTTAGATCCACCCCTGCTTGAGCAGGGAACAAGGTGATGTGTTTTCTCAAGCTGACTCACCCATAGTTTGTTACCCAACTTGTTTGTACATGGGGTGTCTCAGACAGGTGTTGTAATGTGTTATTATCAAAGGCACAAGTCCCANAATGGGTACCGGCGAACTTAATGCTGGGGGTAACCCTGTGATGGACTAGCATCCCATCCAGGGGGGAGTAGAAATACTCCTAGTCGCTTCATGCTACGGGAACCGGGATAAGCTCCAGCTTGATGGGCCACTTGGCTCGCATGCAGACTTTACCTTAGAAAATGTGTGAAAGGGAAACAAAAATTGCTTTGCGCTAGTGGCAGCAGGTTCAAGTTGTTGAGGGTTGGAGTTACCAAAAGTAAAATTACAATCAATGTATGACAGAAATCCAGGGGTTATCAATTTTGGTTTCAGTTACCGTGAGGTTTGAGGTAGTGAGGGTTTGAGTTTTCGGGAGTCAACTGAGAGAAAACTCAACTTTATTTAGTCAGGACACAGTGGCTAATCAGTAAAGTATGTTGCTGGATTTGTGATGAAAACTTTTTTCATTCTTTGCAGGACACCCCTGAGATAGACCTTGCAGTTTATCAAGAAATGTGGTTTCCGGTAGCAGTGGTGGCTGGTGTGACTGTTATTCTCATATTCCTGGCTATTGTTTGCTTGGTAAGTCACAACATACCCACCCTTATGTCAAACATTTTTTCAGATCTCACTGTAAGTCAGTTTGCAGTTAGCTCTGCTATGAGATAACATTGTGGAACAGCCATATATTTTACTTCTGCTTTTCTTTTGGGGACATACAGAACTAAGCTACCTTTTCACATATATAGTAGGCAGCCAGTGTAATCAATTAACTAGAACTTAGTTGCAGTGTACCTGAGTTGCTGTACTATTATTGATTTTATTGGTTGATGTTCAATATTTCTTCAGCCAGGTTGTTAGTATACTGTTGCTAATTCCTGTCTTTATAATAGCTGTTTTGTCGGCGTCATCTGGAGGCCAGAGCTGAGGAAGAACACCGTGCAAAACACCATGACCCAGAGAAGCTCCTTTATCCTGCTATTGACCCCATAAATGCTGTGTCAGCAAGTATGATCCAGCCAGACCCAGGGAGAGTGTACAGTTTGCCTCCCAAACCAAGGAAGTGGAAAGGTTCTCAGCTCTCACTATCAGACAGGTTCGACATGTGAATTTTTCCATCTGGTTGGCATAAATTTCTTTTTGATCCAAAATTTAATGGTACAACACAATGATGATGATGACGTTTCTTTATTTTCATGACTCATCTGCTTGAAACATTAGACATTGCAAGGAGAAAGTAGTTGTTGGTCCCACTCTCATTGGTGAAGCATTATTGATGTAAAGTTTTTATTGTGATTATTTTGAAGACGTGTCTGAGGAACTCCTACAAACTTAAACTGTAGATTTAATAACCTTGCTTTGATTTTCAGGCGTGGCTCAAAAGCTTCGCTAGTTCTTGATCTCAGATCATCCTCGACTGAACTAGGAACCAGTTCTTCTGCCCCAAGTATTCTAGAAAGGTTTGGAAGGCATTTAGTAAAGAGTAATAACTGTATGAAAGTTTTGTTCTTGTCATAATGACAATTGCTTCTGAGATAGAAGTGAAAGTGCTTTTCTGGGGTAGAATTGACTGTTCTAGGGCACAGGGTGTTGTAACTTCAAACATAACTTTAACTTCTCTATTATTGTGCACTATTTACAGAGTTAATTTACATGAGTATTATAACATATATATATATAAAGTTGTTTTATAGTTATTGTATTTTGTAAATTTAGAAAAGCCTGACCAAGCGATCTTAGCTTAAGTTGTATCTTCCTCTGGAATGTTTGTGGTTGTACTCTAGAACTTTCTAAAATATGATAGTTTGGGATGAATGCTGTATTTAAATGTTGTAAATATTGTATATTTACAGCCCCACAGAGGAAAAGCTTGCTTCTAAATCCAGACCCTTGACTTGCAATGAATTAGAAGACTGTGTAAATAATGCCAAGCAACTTAATGCAGAATTCTGGGTGAGTTAAAATTGATACTGTATGACAAAATGGTTGGTGTCAGACTGGTTTGGGAGATCTTGGAAACCTTCTTTGAACCCTTGCTTATCAATGGGCTCGTGCAAATTGTCAGGTTCCTCCAAACTCTCTCAAATGCTTGTATCAGGCAATGTAAATGTTTCTTTGAATGAATGTTTTGCTTTCAATTAACATTTTACTGCCATCAGACGATTTGACCAATGATTGTGCTTTCCTCATTTGTTTAGGAAATGCCCATGAATCACCCCCCTCCCGAGGAGAGGCTACCTGGTTCAAGTTACAGAAACAGATATCCATTTATTTTACCAAGTAAGTTTCGAGTGCTGTATCATGGCTGAGTACCAGCCTGTAACTTGGTGAATGTGCAACCTGTTATTTTCTGTCTCACCCTAAACATGTTTTCTTCCAGATGCTAGGACTAGAGTGAATTTACCAGAAATACCTGGAGATCCTTTATCTAAGTACATTAATGCAAATTTTTTGAGGGTAAGTTGGAGGATTGAACAATAATTTGACTATGCAGGGCTATAACTAACAATTATTCCTTGAGCATGCATTGGATATGAGATGGTAGATAACCAACAAGGCATGTAGCACCGAGTTGGCTAAAATCATCCCATATCCAACAAGCACGAGTGAAATAATTGTTTTATTGAAAACGCGCCCAAAATATAGAAAACTAGGCTTCATCCAAAAAATCATGGTTACGCTTATCATATTTGTAGAGCATGGTATAATGCCTCATAACCCATGATGGCTAAGCCAATGAAAACTCTCAGATTGCAGTGATCCAGTTTTTAATAATTGTGTTGATACAGAGGTTAGACTGTAGCAATTGGCTTGGAACAAGCTCATACTAGTCAAGCAGAGTTTTTCCTATTCTCATTATATTTTTAATTCAATTTCAGGGTTATGAGGGTCGAAAACATACTTACATAGCAACCCAAGGTAAACATGCATCACTCAATTTTAGTTAAATTTGTTTTTAATTGTAAAACGGAGAACTTGAGATCATGAGAAGCTTTAGGACATGCTTGGATCTGTCTTCCTGAGAAAAAGTTTCTTAGTTTGTAGTAAGAGTATTTTGGGTAATATATGGTACTAATTTTAGTATGTTATTGTTTGGTGGCTTCATGGTTAGTGTGCTGGACCCTGGATCAAGCAGTCCAGGTTTGAGCCTTGGCTGGGGTCATTTACTATGAATGAATACTAGTGTAGCTGGGTCAGACCCTGCAATGGACTAGCATCCAGGAGAGAGTAGAAATATTCCAGTCTCTTCATGATGGGTCACTTGGCTTGAATGCAGACTATGTATTCCTCTGTACTGTTACTGTTTCTCTTCCAGGTCCATTATCAGTTACAGCCAAAGATTTCTGGAGGATGATATGGCATCATCACTGCCCGATAATTGTTATGATTACAAAGCTTAAAGAAAGGAATGAGGTGTGATTAACTTAATAAATTATACTGTCTTGAAATGGAATTCAAATTTTTTTAAACCTTGGATCATTTCAAATAGTCTTCAGCTCCTCATGGAAAAAAGTTTGGAAAAATTACCCTTGAGTTTTAAAACTTCCCAATTTTTCCATTGCTTTCTCCTAGGTTGTTTGAAAAATCGGAGTTCTACTGTAATCCCTTTGTTTACAATAATTATCAGACATTGGACCTTGTAAACAGAAATTACTTAATATGAAGAATCTCTTTAACAAAATTACCCTCTCTTGTCAGACAAAATGTGAGCGTTACTGGCCAGACCCAACATTTAGAATGCAAGAGAAGTATGGAGACATAGTTGTCACATTTGACTCTGCAATTGGACGAGACGGTTATCAGATAACGTCTTTATACATCAGTCATTCACAGGTAAGTTCAAATTGCTCCTCTTTTACCATGATGGCTATTTTTGTGGAAAGGCTAATGGACGGTGTTATTTTGGGCAAACCTGTTACAAATACTAAAAACTTGTTGTACTTTAATCCTTTACAGTCCCTAGAAGCTCCACGAAGAATTTACCACTACTGGTACACTGCCTGGCCTGACCATGGTGTCCCAGACTCCCCAAGACAATTTTTAAGATTAGTAGAGGAAGTGCATATTGCTCAAGAAAGAGAAGATGTAAAAAAAGGCCCTGTTGTTGTACATTGCAGGTTGGTAATCACGTGTTGATGTCACTAATTTCATGCTTATCTAGCCTGCATAGCAAACATTTTGACTCACACAAATAAGGAGATTCCTGCTCACAGACGTTCAAGAATGCAGCTGAGAGGAAAACCTCTTCATTTTGATTCATATGGAAACATTTGCTACGCAGGGTAAATGACTTTCTTTTAAAAGAGGGTAATGAGAATTTTGAGTGAGTGGTGCATTTAACCATACTTTTCAGTGCATGAGAACTTAAACAATGCTCTTAAAAACTTACAGAAAAATACTAAAATCTTCAAACCTAGCATGTACACACAATGTTGTTAGTGCAGGGATGAATATTGCAAAAATATGGCTTTGCTTGTACTTTATGGGCTGTGTAAGGTTTGCATGGTATTGTGGTAAAATGTACAACTACCATCTCTTTTCTTGCAGAGGATTACAAACTAATTTTAATCTGAGAATATTATTTCTTACAGTGCTGGGGTTGGAAGAACAGGTTGTTTCATTGCAGCTAGTATAGGAATTGAGCAAATAAAGGTATGTTTTGGGGTTTGGGGTTTTAAGTGTCATTATGGATTCTGTCAAATCAGGTTTTTTTAAAGTAAAATCTGAAGGGTTTGACAAGCTGTACTTTATTGTTGCGCCAGCTAATTTGTTGGAAAATACCGAACAGTAGTGTGATCTCGCTCTTTGGCTTTCTTTCTTGTCGTGCTCCAAAGAATAGAAAAAGTGGCTCTTCTTATTGGTAATTAACTCAGGTACCTTATTACATGAAATTTTTGCAGCTTGTTAATTTCGCAAATTTCGCGATTTAAAAAAGGCATAATGAAAGTGACGCAAACAATAAGTGTCACGAACATAACATTATGCGAAAATTAAGTGACTCACATGTTACTGTTGACATATAGAC